TTCTTACTAAAATACTTTGAGCAAATTTCTTAGCTTCATCAGCAAAGAAAACAATTTATCCTGAAGCTGCACCTGGAGATGCTGGTAAACCTTTAGCAACAAATTTAGCTGTTTTCAAAGCTTCTGGAGTGAAAATTGGATGTAATAATTCATCTAATTTATTTGGTTCAATTCTCTTAAGAGCTGTCTTTTCATCAATCTTTCCTTCTCTGAATAAATCACAAGCAATTTAAACCATGGCAGCACCTGTTCTTTTACCATTTCTGCATTATAATAACCATAATTTTCCATTTTGAATAGTGAATTCAATATCTTACATATCTTTGAAGTGTTATTCTAATTTCTCTTAGACATTCTTCAATTCTTAGTAAGTTTCTGGTAATGATTCCTCCAATGATGGGAATTAGGCTTTTCTGACTTCTTCAGCAACTCCTTATAATTCAGCCCATCTTTTTGATCCAATCAAAGTGATTTATTATGGTGTTCTGATACCTGCAACGACATCTTCTCCTTAAGCATTAATCAAATATTCTCCATTGAAAATATTTTCTCCTGTAGATGCATCTCTAGTGAATCCAACTCCTGTTGCTGATGTATTTCCCATATTACCGAAAACCATAGCTTAGACATTAACTGCAGTTCCCCAATCTTCAGGAATCTTGTTAAGAATTCTATAATATTTAGCTCTGTCATTGTTCCAACTATCAAATACAGCTTAAATAGCTCTCCATAATTATTATTATGGCTCTTATGGGAAATCTTTTCCTGTTTTTACTTTGACAGCTTCCTTGTATTTGGTAACGAGTGTCTTAAGATCATCAACATCAAGTTCGGTATCTTATTTAACTCCTTTAGCATGTTTGACACCTTCGATGATTTCTTCAAATGGATCGATGTCTTCTTTTGTTGTTGGCTTCATATCCAAAACAATGTCACTAAACATTTGAATGAATCTTCTATAAGAATCCCATGCAAATCTTGGGTTATTTGTTCTCTTGCTTAATCCTTCTACTGAGACATCATTTAATCCCAAATTAAGAATTGTATCCATCATACCAGGCATAGAAACTCTAGCACCAGATCTAACAGAAACAAGTAAAGGATTTTCAGCTGAGCCAAATTCCATCTTGGTCAATTCTTCAACTTGATGAAGTGCTTTTTCAACATCAGCCTTGATGAGAGCGAAAGTGTTTTCTGCACCATTTTTAGTGTATAAATTGCAAGCTTCTGTTGTAATTGTGAAGCCTGGGGGTACAGGAATACCAATCAAATTCATTTCTGCTAATCCTGATCCTTTGCCTCCCAAAAGATTCTTCATAGCTGCACTGCCTTCAGCTTTGCCATCACCAAATGTATAAATATATTTGCTCATTTATTTATTTAATTCATTGAGACGTGTATCCATCACCTTTTGTATGAAATTTTTATACACCAATTATTTTTCCTTAATATCTTGTTATTGCGCACTATTACTTTATAATATTTCTAGATAATTATATTTATTTATAAATTTCATTCACAAACTATAACTTTTGGAAAGTGATCTGATGCATATTATCCACCAATTTAATCATTTATAATCATCATACTCTTCTACTTAAGATTACCCAAGAAAATATAATCTATATGTATGCCTAATTTTAATCCATACCATGCATGATATGTTGCTAATGGCATATCAATAATACCAATTGTGTTTTCTAATTTAAAATCTTGCCATATAGAAGAAGTCAAGATTTTAACTGGCTCGCTTAATGGTAAACTATTCAAATCTCCCATTACAATAATTTTATCTTCAGGAGAACAATATTATTAAATATGTCTTTTAATTTACTCAGCTGACTTAATCTATGATATTTTATTTTCATGATCAAAATGGGCATTGTAAACATGAAATATTTTTTGACTTTGTTTATGCAATAATTAAACATGTGTGCATATTCGAGGAAATCCATTACCATAACTTTTTGATCCTGCAATATGTGGTGTATCTGAAAACCAAAATACTTCAGCCTAAATTAAATCATATTTAATCATATCATAATAAATAGGGCATGCTTCATCATCCCAAAAATTACACTATCTCCCTCTGCCTATAGAATTATAATTCACTTATAAATTTTATTATAAATCTGCTTGTTAATGAGCAAGTACTTCTTATAATCCAAATATTTCAGGATTAATTTATTTTATTAATTTGTAAACACTTTATTTTCTATGACTCCAATCATTCTTTCCATCCTCTTTACAATCATATCTTATATTAAATGTCATAATTTTTAGCTATTCAGTATTCATCATTCTATCAAGAACTCTATTATTTCCTTCATCCCATTTTATGTCTTATGTGGAATTATTTGTTTATGCTACAAAGTACTTATATTCAACTACATTTTCAATATTAATATAAATTTAACATAACCATAAATTAGTCTCATTATAATTTAATTTAATTGCTTTATCAGGATTCCAATGTCCTAATTCATTGCAATTTCCTGTTACATAGAGAGATTATCCAAGTTATAAAGGTCTTATTTGTGCAAATGTAATTTACATACTAATAAATTATTATTTTATATATTGTATTATTATTTATAATTGATCACTATTTCATAGCAAGACCAGCTTCAGGGATGAAGACTTCTAAAATACTTTTCAATTCAGCATCATCTTATTTGCTTAATTCACCAGTACTAAAGTTATTATTATAATATATACCTTCTAATTCTTTCTAACATAGCTGGGAAATTGGTTCTGAGATGAGTGAGGAATTTCTCTTCAAATTTAGCAATTTCTGAAGTTTATACTTTATCCAAAAATCCTCTAACACCAGCATAAATGACACATACTTATTCTTCAGCACACATTGGGACCTATAATATGATTCCTATAAATAATTACGTATTATTTTTATTTAAGTAATTCAGTCAATTAAGCACCTCTATTTAATAATTATTAGGTAGCTGCATCTAAATCTGAACCAAATTAGGCAAATGCAGCAACTTCTCTGTATTAAGCCAATTCTAACTTAAGTCTACCAGCAACTGTCTTCATGGCTTTGATTTAAGCAGCTGATCCGACTCTTGACACTGACAAACCGACATTGATAGCTGGTCTAATACCCTTAAATTAAATTAGAATTTATGATATACCTTAAAGAACAATTCAGTTTCCAAGAAAATTTATCCATCAGTAATAGAAATAACATTGGTTGGAATATAAGCTGAGACATCACCAGCTTATGTTTCAATGACTGGTAAGGCAGTTAAGGATCCATTTCCATTTTCTGCATTAAGTTTAGCTGCTCTTTCTAACAATCTGGAATGCAAATAAAAGACATCACCTGGATAGGCTTCTCTGCCTGGTGGTCTTCTCAATAATAATGACATTTATCTATAAGCAACGGCTTATTTAGAAAGATCATCATAAATAATAAGAGCATGCATTCCATTATCTCTGAAATATTCTCCAATAGCACAACCAGAATATGGTGCTAAATATTAAAGTGGAGCAGCTTCTGAGGCTGTGGCTGCAACCACAATTGTATATTTCATAGCACCAGCTTATGTAAGAATTTTGACTAAATTAGCAACAGTTGATCTCTTTTAACCAATAGCAACGTAAATGCAATATAATTATTTATTCTTGTCACCAGAATCAAAGTTTGGTTTTTAATTGATAATTGTATCAATAGCAATAGCAGTCTTTCCTGTTTATCTATCACCAATAATCAATTCTCTTTATCCTCTTCCAATTGGAACCAAACAATCAACAGCCTTTAATCCTGTTTACATTGGTTCATGGACACTCTTTCTTGGAATAATTCCTGGTGCTTTTAATTCAACTCTTCTTCTTGCATTTGTTTTGACTGGACCATGTCCATCAATTGGATTACCAAGAGCATCAAATACTCTTCCCAACATTTCCATTCCAATAGGGACATCGACAATAGCTCCTGTTCTTTTGACAATATCTCCTTCTTAGATATCTCTAGAATAAATGAATTAAAATGAATTACCTGTCATTACCCAACACGACAATACCCACATTATCTGTTTCCAAATTCAAGGCCATACCTCTTACTCCTGAACTGAATTCAACCATTTCTCCTGCTTAAACTTATGTCAATCCAAAAACTCTAGCAATACCATCACCAATAGAGATAACTGTACCATATTCTTTGATGTCATTCTAATTTATCACTATAATCCTTTACCAATTAGGAAATATTTTTAATTTTATCTTCTAATACACTGGATGCTTCTCCAATACCCAATTTCTTTGAGAATCCCATTGATGGTAAATACCAAAGTGATTTTCTCAATACGGATGTATATCCTCGTATCATAATTAATTTATTTAAATTAAATCTTCAAATCAGAACATAAATACTTAATATAATAACAACCTTTCTAATTGTCATTTACTCCTATTTCATAACCAAAAACCTTTAAATTAATTTATCAATTCCTATTCTATCTTAACTCAATCTTACCACTCGAAATTAACTAATTAGCTTTTAATAACTCCAAAAAAAATAATTATACTATATAAATGTACTATTACTAATGATAAACTTCATACTCTAAGATTTTATATTAATTAATAATTATAAATCAAGAATATTATTCAAAATAGTATCATAAATATAAGAATAATTATATAGATTTATGTATTCATAAATTATTATTTGATAATTTCTCTCTATCATCTTATTATAATATGAGATTCCTATATATTTTAACATCCTTCTTTTATAGTTTTAAAAAATGATATTTATAAAATCTAAGAAATATGTTTAGAATAAGAATAAAAT